ATGTAGTCATAAGGCAGTTGGTTTTGTCCATTTTATTTCTTTTCATTTCCACAATTTCATGCATTGTTTTTTCTAATGGTGTGAGGGGAAAGAAAGCCCTAGGTCATAATGACCTGATGTTAATCAAATTTACAATTTCAGGGTAAACAGTATTTTTTTAAACTGCAGTTTTATGTGTGACATTATTAAGGAAAGTGTGTTCATATCCAAATTCTCTTTGTCCTGTTTTTCTCTCTTTCTCCATTTTTTTTAAACTTTAGGAAAAAACTGTAGAGATATACCAGATGTTACCATATACTGCTGATAGGAGTAAGACTGATCACAGAAGAAATTATGCATGCTAAGAGTTAGGTCATGTCTCAGATATATGAACATGCACAATTGAAAGAAAACTCCAGCAGTTGAGCCTTCCCTATGACTTCCCTGGGATTTTAGGTCCAGGTGTAAAGAAGCAAGCAGGTGTTGGAAGGACTTTATCTTCACTAATGTGCCAGCTAGCACATCTGAACAGGCACAGTGATATATATAACCTGCTATTCATAAGGTCCATGAGCTTCTTTCTTGCCTTTTGCTAGGCTAAAAAATTCTGATGTCTGCATTTTCTTTGTGCTTCTTATCATTATATGTCATTCTTTACTGAGAATGGAGTTGGAATACCAAGTCTATCCTAAAGGAAAAACAGCACCTATTGAAACAGAAAAAAAAAAGTATGGAAATGTACATGCACAAGAATTAAGAAGAATTAAAATCATCTCAGCAGAAATAATTATTTCTTAACTTCCATGTAGTTTGCTTTGCACAAAGCTGCAATTAAATATTAAATAACAGATTTTTGCAGTTATTTAAGCAATGTAACAATGTTCAAAAATCTTTCTTATCCTAATTTAGCCAGTTATCAATCATGACTCAAGTAGGCTACCATTGTAGATACATAGCAAGATGTTAACTCTTTGCTCATGACAACAAAAACCTAGTTGCTAGTCTGGGAAAAAGCTTAGGTGTTGTTATCTTCCTTTGTCTCACAGAATGTCCATTAAAAATTTAAAATCTTTCATTTGAAAAACATTTATTCAAAATAAACAAATAAAGTAGACAGTGTACAGTATGAGGTGAAGACCTTTATTAAGTGAGTGCGTTTGATAACAAAATCACAACTGATTTTTTTATATCAGGAAGTTAAAGTAAAAAACTCAATGCAATTAGTAAGAGATATATATTATTAGTTATAAAAAATCAATAATAAGTGATTAACCATGTCATGAGACTGAGATAAATTCTACAAAATAAGGGAAACAGTTGCTAGACTATCAAATGTGGCCTGATTGTCAGACTGTCAGATAAGCAATTGTGTCTGTAAATGAATTTTTTGTTTCACAAAGATGTTCCTGTCCTATCAACCACATTTCCATTTTGATATCTGAGGTAGTAATATCATTGTTTTCAGTAGTGAGAATAATTATGCAATATTGCATAATCTATTATTAAAGAGTRAAACTCACATTTTTTCTTCTATATCATACATAATTAAAATAATTTTCTATACATCATTTGGCCATTGTTTTTGTTGCATAGAACTAAGAAAGTCACCTTAAACTCTGAAAGGGACATTCCAACATTCTACTAGCTGTAGACTAGAGAATGGAGAAGGGCACACTTACAGGCAAATATTGGAGATGAGGGTGTGTTTTGTGCATTTGTTAGCCATAGATCCATAGGCTCAAATTAAATTCTCCTTAGACCTTTTTCCCCTACTTCCCTGATTCTCCTGCTTTTTTTCCCTGCCTCAACTGCAGGATGACACAAGATCTGCAATGGTGAATCTATGCTTCTTGGGAATTCCTTTGCTTCTATCATGGGAATTCTGCCAGGTTGATTAAATCATCTGTAGCTCAGTAGAAGAGTACAAAAATTGCCAATAATGGGCATGAAACGACATCTATATTTGCTACATATTTTCAATTCAATAATTGCCCTTGATATAAATAGAACATGTGTTAATGGTACCTGTCACTCCTTTATAGTTTTCTGCATAACAAGAAAGATCCACAGGAATAATAGGTGCCCTTTTGCATATTCATATGATAACCCTAAATGTTAGACACATAGTCAAAGAAAATCACACCAAAAAGGAATGAAACTTCTAAGTATGAGATATATTCTGATTAGACCAGAAGAGCTGCATTACAAGAGGGACCAATCATAGATGGAGGACTACATAAAAAGTGTTGCATTGAGATGTACTAAAAGCATTATATTAKTTTTAATTCCGTATTTCCATTCCTTATTTACTTTATACCTAAAACCAAATAGTTGCTTTATTTCAACAAGTCAAAATTACCAGCAACTCCAAGGGAATTAGTAATCACACATTTGCCGTTCTGCTGGAATGAGCATCATGCAACAAATTTCTGTTACATTTTTCTTCTGGTCCTGCTTATTACTCCATYTCCCTCATGAACTTAGTTTCAACAGGCTGCAAACATGTTTATTAAAGAATTTATTAATTTTCTTTCTTTTTAACTGCACTGGTTAGGAGAGAAGGAGCTTATTTAATCACTGAATTGTCATCTGCAACATATACAAACATAGTTCTAAGCAAGAAATTGAAGTGTATCAGTGAAAAAAAATGAGCAATAAAATGTAAAAAGTGACTGAGTCTGCTCCTGCTATGTCAATTGATGTCTTATTTTTGACTCCAATCAGACTGCTTTGTTCATTTCAGATTGCTTTTGGAAATTCCACAAAAATTTTCAGTTGTATTGAAAAAGTTTTGCAAAATATGTAGTGTRTTTGTGGCTCAGCTACTCTATGACTGGAAATTTTGTATTTTCAATGACTTAAAAAACTGAATGAGCCACTCTAAACCTGCTGGACTGCCCGTGATTTACAGTAATTTAAATTTAATTATAATTTTGACAAATGCTTTATTTTAAAATAAACTGGTATCTTTGATTTTATAATTAGAACTTGTCTAACTCTTGTACATTGGACACCATCTGCAAGGATTTAGTCTAACTGGATGTATTGTGCATCCAGTGCTTTTCAGCATAGGGTGAATTCAGTTTATTAAGTCTGATTCGCAGGATGAATAATACCATCCTTTTGTTTTTAAATATGCCAATTTCTCTTCAGCTATCAATCCTCAATATTTAATCAGCAAAGATAAATGCAATTCATTTGGCCTTAACTRTGTGTCTCAATAAAAGAAGAGACAGGAAAGCTAATAAAATAAATTGTTTAAGTTATCCAGAAGATAATGTTTCTAAATTTAAAATATGTAACTATATTTTTCAGAGTGGGGGTTGATTTAGCCCGTGGCTCTTTGAAAGACACAATTTGTGAGGGAAAGCTAATAAACTGCCTTAGTGGCTTGAAGAATTGGTGATTTTCTCTCAATTGTTTCCCTCAGTTGCTGTTTGTTTTGTTTATTACAGGATTCTGTTTCGAAGACAATAGTATGTAAGGGTTACATCTGGCCTGTTCAAAAACTAGTGGCACAAAATGCTGAGGTGGCCTGGGGTGAACTRCACTCTGAGAGCAGGCTTGGGATAACAAATCGCCTTTGCATGAGGGCCCTGGCATGTAGAATCACTTACAGAGGTGTGTTGTCAAGGCAGAAGAGGTGAAACAAGGGTGGTTACAGGGACTGGAAATTATTATTCCCCCACCTTGTTTCCTCGACCTTCATTTTTCTTTTTTTTTAAAGTCATTTAGTGACCTGAGGTGAAATGGACAGGAATTGACAGCACACATGCTGCTTCTGGCAGCAGAGTCACTGCAGTTGCTCCTTGGACATGAAAGGAGGGGGAAAAAGATGAAAGAAACCCAGTTGTTCTGTAAATATAACACATGTAAAGATAATATGCTTGCTTTAGTTGAAACCAACCCCTTTTTCCTGCAGAAATTATATCCCCCCCTACTGCAGCTCAGAAAAAAAGGAGAGATGATTTTTTGTCTCTCCCTCTCCTTCTTGCTTGCACAAAGAAAACGTGGGTTGATACCATTTTTATTGTTCTGCTGGGGTGGGTTTCAGACCTCGCATTAGCATATTGAATGTCTAATTGAATTTGGGGGCCGTGTTAATCATCTTGTTTTGTTTAGGGGTGGTTGGTGAAATGTGCCAGCAAACGATTGCTTTGGCTTGGGGTTAGCTTGCTGCTGCCACCCCAAGAAATAGAACCGAGAAGGGGGAGGGAGCCGGGGAAAGGCGAGTTGACTGAGTGATGTCTGGAGGGCGAACTCGTGTGTCTCTTTGGTGATGTGTGCTGCTGTACTGAAATCCACCCCTCTGCCGGAGCTAAGGCAAGAGTTGGAGGCATCTGATGCTGCCGTTTCCAGGGTGAAATTTCTAAGGCTGATAGCTAAAAACAACAACCAAAAAATCCCCCAAATCCTCAGCAAAAATAGCAGTYAGAACAGAAGATCCGGCATCTCTCGGTCCAACTGGCATAACCCAGGCAGACGTTTGAGAACCACATGCTTTTAACCTAGCCACACACACGAAGGGGGAGGGTGGGCGGTGGAAGAAGAAAGGGAGCAAAAAAGACACTGCAACTACCGAACATCACATTTCTCACAAAAGGCCAGAAACAGTGCCGGTAGGAAAAGAAAAAAAAAGAAAAAAAAAAAAAAAAAAAAAAAAAAAAAAAAAAAAAAAAAAAAAAAAAAAAAAAAAAAAGAGAGAGAGAGAGAGAGAGGAAAAGCCTCCCCCTCTTCCCCCGATGAGTTTTTCGCAGTGCTCTGGTGAGGCTCGGAGGTGGCTGGCAGCGCAGGGGGCGGCTGCTGCCGCGGCTGGCGGGGCTCCGCGCAGCAGCTCCCGGCGCTCAGCACCGCCGCCCGGACAGCTCCGCGCCCGCCCTGCCCCACAACAAGTCCCCAGCGCTGTCCGGAACTCCGCGGCGCGCTCCTCGCGGTCCCCCCGCATTGTCTCCTCAGCGAACCGGCCGTCAGGCGTAATTACCCCCATTTCCCCCACCCCCTCCTCTCTCTCTCCTTTGCAGGAACGACTCTTTGGGAACCTGGTCCACCCAGGGATGTAAAACTGTGCTTACCGATGCATCCCATACGAAATGCTTATGTGATCGTCTCTCTACCTTCGCCATTTTGGCTCAGCAACCTAGAGAAATAGTAAGTAACAAAGAGGGGGCAAAAATCCCGTTTTAATGCAAAAGGGACTGCGGGGGGGACTGCGGGGGGAGGGGGGAGCTGGTCCAGCTTTCCTCTCAGGTATATTGCAGACGTTGCATTGAGGAATTGTTTAATATTGCAGGTAGTCAAATGTTAGTCTCCTGGTGTCTACAGTGTATCAGATAAATGAATTCCAGATTCTGTGATATAATTAAATCCTTGTGAAATTTGCATGCTCTCGAACTCTGTATTTTTTTTTTAAGAGAAAGCCTTGTAATTGTGGTGCAAATGTGTGGAAAACTTTTGTATTGAACAATTAAGGGAACGTACAGGTCTCTATTATTGCTGTTGGTAGGAAAAMCCTAGATACTGTAGTTAAACAGATTGCAGATCTGCATTGGACATTTTCAGCACAGATTTTCTRTGTAGTCTGTTGATATGATGTAAGAAAAATAATCAAGTTTTTATGAGAAAGAGGGGACATTAAGTGTATAAGCAGACACTCCCAGTATTATTGAATGGAAAAACAGATGACAAGCAAATATTTGTGAAGTTATCTTGCTAAAGCAAGATTTCATTTTCCTGAATTTGGAAACATATGAGCAGACTCTTTTTAACAGCAAAGTAAATCCATTTGGAAAAAAAGTGGTTGAAATAAAATACTACTTTCTGCCTGAGATCTGGCCTAAAAGTACATCTGCCTTGTATCCTATTTGAGTGACAAAAGCTATAAAAGCTATCTTSTTAAATGTAATTTACAATACATCCTTGAAGCTTAATAAGCATTTTGGTAAACCATGCATGATATCCTTTAAAACTTTTAGATCTATTTTTTTCCATATRTATTAGCAAAACCCATGTCTATTTCAGAAGATGAGGACATATACATACAATGGAAAAAATTGACCTGATATCTGAGGATAATAGTTTCCCTTACAGCAGGGAAAGCTAGTTTGCTTTCAAGGTCATTCATTTATTTTCATTTTTATTAATACAGAGAGTAAAAAATGAAATAATTCTGAATTTGTAGGGTTTTTTATGGAAGGCTTATGATACTGTTGCCATAGATATCCTGCCCTTCCTTCTAGGCAGTCATAGGCCCTAGGAAATTAAACATGTGACAATAGTGGATTGAAGTCAAAGTTATTAGAAGTTAGAAAGTTTGGTCGTTCTGCAACAAGCATGTATCAAATTCTGGGACAAATTATTGGATAATCTTTAATATGTTAGAGTGAAACCAAGCTGTATGTTTAATGCACAATTCTGAATATTGCTGCTTCTGAAGAGAAATATATCTTTAAATTAATGTTAACTGRAGAGTCATTTAAACTTGTGCTAACATCATGGGTTCCTGTTACATTGTAATATTACTAGCTTTTTTTCAAGGTATCATGCGGATATTACAAGGCATTTTAAAGCTCAGCGGCCTATGAGGAATGTATTGAGCAGATTTCAGAGTTATGTATTTAGGAATTAAGTKGATTTCTTCATAAGTAACATTACTGAAACTATCTGTGGCAGTTTGTCTGCTTTTAATTTTGCTTTTGATGCTTTTTTTTTTTTGCATTTGACTTGTTGGTTTAATTGCTGGAGGATGTTTTTTCTTCATGGTTGTCTGTCATAACTTACAGATCATGGAATCATCTGGCACACCCTCAGTGACCTTAATAGTAGGCAGTGGTCTTTCCTGCTTGGCCTTGATCACYCTAGCAGTTGTCTATGCAGCATTATGGAGGTATGTAATGGGTTGAGACAGCAAAATGTAAATASTGTTGTTATATTTAGTTGAATTGCAATTTAAAGAGAGCATTAGATCCTACACTTATTGTTTGGAAAGTTAATTAAAAAAAAAAAAATGGAAAGTGTAATGCATGCTTTGGTGCCTGAATTTGTTGATGTGATTGGTCAGTTTTACCCTSTTGGCCTGATGGTATAGTCCACTTTTGTCTTCTTCCTCTTCAGTGTGAATGGTGTTGCTCTTTTGGTGGGATATTCATAGTGCTAAATGAAAACTGGATTCTCATATATGATATATTTCAYGTGAGGCTTCTGGCCTATGCCTTTAACCGCTTTTCTCCCTTTTACATTTTTAAACAAAACTTACATATCAAAGTCTCACATTTAGGGAGGTTCAGTCAATTGATTTTGAGTTTATTCAYATCATTTATAAGTTTGAATATAGAACACAAAGTTAAATGCTCTTAAATAGTGTAGTGGTACATTCCAGTGGCAGATTTTCTTTCCATCCTGAGTTTACAATATTAAAATGTTATATTGACCTAAAAGTGCAATAAATACTTATGGATCAAATTAATTTGAGAATAATGAGGAATAGTATGATGTCTTAGTGCAGAAGAAACTCAAAAGTAAGATGAAAAGTCATGCAAAGAAATTAATATTTCTAAAAAGTTAACATGGATTCTCATTTATTTTTTTTTCAATAATAAAAGAAAAAACAGAGTTTTACGAAAGTTATAAGAAACAAGGGCACGAAATAAAAAACCTTGGAGTAATGTAAAATCAACCAATAGAATTGTSCTTTTAGAAACAGTTTGGTAATTTTATACCCATTTCTCTATCACCCTTGTGTACCACAAAGACTCACAGGATTAATAATATATATAATTATTAAGAATATCTAGTTATGTAAGTTATGATAAAAGACTATAGAAATTATCAGTTCTTGTCTGTCAAAACTAAGAATGGGAGTATTTCAGGATATAATTCCCATCTGAAGAATCATAGTGTTATTTTTGCACTCCCTGATATATTTAGCACTTGGATAGAGATACTGTCATGTTCAGTGGAACTGGTCTACTCCATTATTTAAATTAGGTATATGGAAGAAATTCTTTATTGTGAGGGTAGTGAGGCACTRGAACAGGTTGTCCTTAGAAGTTGTGGATGCCCCATCCCTGGAAGTGTTCAAGGGCAGGTTGGATGGGATTTTGAGCAAGCTGGTCCAGTGGAATGTGTCCCTGCCCATGCCCATGGCAAGGGGTTGTCACCAGATAATTTTAAGTTCCCTTCTAACCCAAGTGATTCTATGATTCTGTGAACTTCTAAGTGGAGGTAARATGTTGTGTCTTATGGCTTAGGTCAATGCTGTGAGCCCCTGCTTGCACTGTGTTTACTCARCCACTAAGCTCCTTTGTAGTCCATGGACACTCAGTGTTGGGAATTGGCCCAGGTGAATCAATACTTAACAAGTTAGAAAGCAACAGCATGCTGTCTGTGTGAACAAAGGTGCTGGACTTCCTGTATTTGTTTGCAAATACACAGAAYTAGCCTTAAGAATGTTGCTAAGGAAGAATGTGCATTGTGGTATCAGGATTGTTCTGTCTAATTAAAAAAATGTGATGCTGTATCAACTTGATATGCGAGCCAAAAAGGGCTACGATTAGTTTAATGTCCAAAGCTCAGCATTTCTTGTGGGTTCAGTGGCCTTCTTTATTACTTTCTCAGAGTTAACTGTGGGTGTGCAGCTTAGGAAGAGACAGTAACATTAACTGAACTCCAGTGAAAAGTATATAGTAGAAACCATTGAATATATAGAGATTTGGCATGGTCTTAAAAGTAAATAAATACCCTTAACTTTCATTTGTTTTGGTGGTCAGCATTTACTGTTAAAAGCTCTACAAATCAGATCAGAAAGGTACTTCCCTTGTAACCATAATCATTGTCTGGCTGTCCTGTAGYATATAAAAGGGTGTATACAGAATACACTTGCATCTTGAATGGAAATATGTGATAAGACTATTTGACTTTTTAATCTTAAACATACTGTTAAATGAATATGATGACTTTGCTAGGGAAACTGTGGTGTTCACTGCTATAATTTAATCTTTCTGTACACATTTGGCTATTTTTGCATTCAGACATATGAAGATATTACAATACTATTGAAGCATCGASATTAATGTTATCCTTATCCCAATAATGTGTTTCTAAATTCATTGCCATAATATCATCCACCAACCTGCATTTTATTTATGCATCATGGACCAAGGCTTCTGTTTATGTAAACCACCATATTTTTGCTGAAGTTGGTAATTATGAGTGGTCTGTGCCAGCTGTGGATATTCCCAGGGACAAGCAGAGAGCATAAGAAGTTCCTGACATGAATGCATGTAAGCCCATTATTATCAGTATGGTGTTAGAACAGTGTTGCCAGCAGTTTTCAAMAGAATCATTGGTAGATTATTTTTAAAATATATCAAGATATTAAGTGGGCATTGTGGAATATCTATCAAAATATCMTAGTTCTGATGTTTGTATTGTGATTGCTCTCTAATACTCTTTCTGAGGACATGAAAGAGTGCCTCTCAGAGTATCTCCAATATTTAATGCAAGAAATAAACCAAAGCTTTGTGTGAMTTGCTGGTTGTTTTCCTTTTAGAAAAGTTGTATCCTCTCTTTGTTTATTTGAACAGGTACATCAGATCTGAGAGGTCCATAATTCTGATCAATTTCTGCCTGTCCATTATCTCATCAAATATYCTTATCCTGGTTGGACAAACTCAGACACATAATAAGGTATGAGATGGATTGCATTACATTTGCCCTTAAAGATTAATATYATTGTTTTATTTGTGTTTAGCTTAGAATAATTACATCCATTTTGTCTTATACTCATAGGATTTGGTGGTTTTGGTAAAATATTAAGAAACAAGGGAAAATATTTATCATCTTTCATAGTCTTTTTTTTCTCTTCCAAAAATCCCTTTTGGTATTGTTCCCTCTAGATAAGCTGTGTTCTCTGTGGTAGACTTGTGTKTTTTATAACTAAATTTCAAAGCAAAAAAGTTCAAAGGCTCAACATCAAAAGCACAAATTCTGCTTCATTATAATARTTGTAATAGGATTGTGCTACAATGTTTTTGTCTTTTTATTAACACACTGGTACTCGAAAGGCAAGTAGAAATTGCTTAGAAGTTAGAGTACAATTCTTGAAAATGTGCAGAAACAGACATCATAACAAGCCATAGAACTGTTAGATCTCTGACTGATGTAGCTATAAGAAAGTAATAACCCTGCATACCTTACTTAGTGGTGTATTGTTGATTTATTAATAATCTGAGCATCATTGTCATTTGTGCCCCTCATGAAAAACAGAAGGCTTGTGACTGTTTTGAGGAGTCACCCAATGCCTGGTGATGCTGGGCAACTTTCATAAGTGGCAATAAGTGGTTGCTTAAAATTAACCATAACTGCAGGATTGCTTGGAATAGAAAATTGTATGTAGTTGGTTGTCTGACCAATATGTGATAGAATGCTGWTAAGTTCTGGGCTAAACAAGTGGTTGCAAAGTAGTTCTTTTTCCCACTCTGCTAAACTACTTAATGCACTGCTCTTCTTGATTTTTCTAATATCAAACAATATAATGTTGATAATCTGCTAGAGGTTTACTAATGTTCTTACAACACACCTGTAATTAATCATTTCTTCTTTTCAAATAAGTGCTTAGCAGTTTAGATGCCAGAAGTCTCATAAATTGAWTGCAAGTCACATAGCTGTACTTTGTAAAACATATCCAAACCAAGCATAGTCATTTCCAGCAGATAATATAACATAATTATGGAAACCAATATATTAATATGATTTTAAAGTTTTGAAAATGTATAGAGGTACAAATAAACAAAATATGGATTTCCAGAAGAAACCCATGTRACTCTCACAGATTTTATTAAGGGGGGAAGAAAAGCAATGTGCCAGCAACTTCATAGCACCAGAGTACAGAAGATTAATCCTCCCTAGAATTTCAGCACTAACATGCATAGCCATATATACTATTTTATTATGCATTTTAAGAATAGATATGGCTCAGTAGCTGCAAGTTCCTGTGTGCATTACTACTGTAGAGTCAGGATCTGAGGGCATCAGAACTGTGTTGGATAACACATTTCCTAGGTATGCTGGCAGCCTTTCTCTGGTGCTTGACTCGGGGATCTCTGAACTAAAACACACCCTTAATCAAGTTCCTTTCTATTAATCTCCTTGAGCTCCCTCACTTCTGCTTCTTGGACTCCTCAAAGTACAGAGATATTACATTGACACATTTCTGAGATCCAAAAATGCAGATGTTCAAATGAAATAATTGACAGAAAAAAACTTATCACAATGTTTATATTTTTAATATACAGTCTGAAAAATTACTGTAAAATACCACTTTTTGCTACACTTATCTTCTTTTTGAGTCCACATCTTGCTTTTGATACATCTACCAACCAGGAGCTTCTAGCCAGGGAGCACCACTAATGGATCAAAAGCAAAATACATTTTTCATATCAAGCAAGACATTTCTTGTTACAGACCAAAATTATTTTTATCACAATGTTGACTGATACATGAATATACTGTAGCTCCAAGAAGCTGGCCTGTGAATGCACCATCAACAGAAATGGCCAGCTAAAGCCACTGTTTAGTGAAAATTTATTCATATCAAAGCAATCAGATCTGAATATGACTTCATTGTGTTTGTAAGTAGGGATGTATTTAGGCATCAGATGTGCTTGCATTCAAGGCAAGACTTTTTTTCATTTTCAAGATTGTGTATGACCCCAAAAAGCCAGGGTTTGGATTTTAGTCCATGCAGCTATATTACAATACTGGCATCTGTAGGAAAAAWTATGTTTTCATTTTGCTGAGCTGGAAAATTAAATCTGTAAATGGAATCTTTAGAAAGAAAATCAGGCCTATGATTTAAGATTAAAAATATTTTACACTTGTTTCTGAGATTTTATTATTTGCTAGAAGTGAAACCATATAAGTTTTTATTGTTTAATAAATTTGTGAGAAATTTCGRGACTATTTTATTAAGACAATGTAATATTCAAGTCAGCAAAAATTGTTTGCTGAATAAAGGCTGAAGTAGTGCTTTATGGCAAGAAGATGAGCTCTCTTTTTTTGGTGTATTAGAGAACATTTGAGAAACAAAATATGCCAAGTTTGAGTTATTTACTCTGTTCCATTCTCATTCCTCGGTTTTTGCTATTCTTATGCTATTGGAGCACCYAGTTAATGTCCACATGATGATGTTAATATTCACAGTGCTGAAGCATATTCCTTTTTTTCAATGCTTTGGTTTTGCTCTGAGTTTAAATTGTCTGTAGCTCTATATTTGTGTACATTTCTTTTTGGAGTAGGTCCCTGTAAATGTCGTCAAAGCTGAATTCCAGTTTAAAGTTGAACAGTATGGAAATTAAGTATACCAAAGATGTATTTATAGCAAGCAGCATATTGTTGATTTGTTTGCAGTTTGTGGCTTCCTTTATCTGTATTAAACACTTCACCAATTACTTTTATTCACTTCAATGCTATTCAATCTCCAGGAAAATTGTGTGGCTCATTTTAGTATACCCATTGACATCTATGACAAAGAAAAAGATACTGAGTATCTTGGTCTAGTTAACTGCAGATTTTTTGTTCTTTWCTTTCTGTTTTAAATAAGTCATAAACATTCTAGACTGTTAGGTTCAGCTCTGCTCTTTGAGGGCTGAATGTATAATCAATGTTTTTGCAAAAATTTCTTTTAGTTAAAGCTAAGTGAGTTTGAATGTTGCATTCCCTTTGGTTCAGCTAAATTCTGGGGTTTTTTCAGTAAAAAAGATCATCTCCCATGGGCAGAAGTGGAAAAAGTGTTTACTGAGGACATGTAGAAGGAATTTGCATTCTTTCAAGCTACAATAGAGTCTCCATTTCCAGTATTACCTGTTTAAGAGGGATTTTTTTTTGTCCYGTTTCAGTAACCCAAGGACACCAACAGTAGAACAGAGGTGTAGGCCGTGGGTCTTTTCATTTGGTTTTAGAGTAGTTTTAGAGTAGTTCATGGAGGGGAGTTTCTCTAGGAAGATTTGGATTGGGATAGCAAAAAGCCTTTTGTCAACAGAAAAGCTGTGCCCCTTTAGCAAAACRTGTTGTGCATTTTGTTGAAGGACACAGCTGGGAAATGTTCTGCTTTTTTCATTATGTTTTCCCAAACCTTTCAAAACACAGAACTTTATTCAATGCTTTCTTAATGCTTCAGACTGTGTAAAAGATTTCTGTCTTGTCAGGTCATGTTTTGTAATACAGGTCACTGAAGGCTGAAATTACAAAAATATTATTAAATTAATTATGTGTCATGTTTAAATATAGTTGGTGTTATACTGTGCATGAGGATATTAATTTACTTTAGTATTTCTTTCTGTCTCTTGTTTTCTTTCTGGTGTTGAATGTTACCCACATAATCATATTTAAACATTACCATATGCAATTGCTAGACTATAACAACTGAATTAAGTTTTAACTCTGAAATTAAGTCTCCAGAATTAAGGAAGGGTAAAACTTCTCATTTATAACCTAATTGTTCAAATATCTGTTACTTCACAAATCCTATGAGATGTCCCTACTATCKACAAAGGCATTAGATATTTAGTTTGAAGAGACTGACAGGTCTTTTTAGGAAATATCTAAAAGTGATTTGTGGCTTACACTGTATCATAACTCTTGCTATATTATGTTTCCTAATGTTCTTCTTGCCATCAAGAAAAAATGCTGTATTTCTTCTTTATGTGGACCTTTAAAGTTTAAGCTGTAAACTTTTACTATGCTTCTGATCCCATTTAATGAATCGATTCTTTCCCYACCATAAGTTATTGGTTAATATTATGTGGATTTTTTTTCCAAAATTCTCTTTCCTTTTATAAACTTTCAGAAAATATCCTGGCATTTTCATGGTTTTGTGTAAACAAAAACACATGTGCTGTTTGATATAAACAATTCCTGTACATCTATTTTTCCTGTGAAGTAAACAAAGATAAATACAGTTTTAAATAAATCATAGAATTCCTTATAGATGTGAGGAAAAAGTTAATTATTTTGTATATAATCTGATTCTGAATATAATTAAGRTTCATTGCTGAATTTTAGGTCACTTGTGAGAAAATGTCCTATTTTAAAATATTTTTAAAATCTATATTTTTAAATGCTGTAAGACTCAGCACATTTTGCTAGCCCTTATCAGGTTTCTCTGTGCCTACCATGGAAAGAACAGGGAAGATGTTAAGGCAAGATTTATTAACCCTGATATTCTGTGTCATCCGTGTTTACTTGCAATATTCAGTTTATTATATTATTATATTTTGAAATTCATCTCTTAGACCATACCTTAAAGGATATGGAAAAGGTCCTGATCACCTCAAGACAGACTGTCAGTAGCCTGACATTGTAAACAAGCAAAACCYCATAAAAATGTGTAGATAATAAGATTAGAATGTTCACTAAATAGCCTGACTGGACGAAAATAACCCACTTTTAGTATTTTTTTTAATAGAGGTGTTAGGTTGAAAGAAACACAAGTAGAGGTGGAAAGAAGCTGAGAAGCCACAGCAGCCCATTCCCATAGCACTCTGAAGTAGCTGACTGAGAAAATAGAGCTCCCTCAGGTTTTGAGAGACGGTGGGTGGTGGGATCCCCTGAGAAACCWGCAAATGTTCAGGTGATACTAATGCTGCCTTTAACCACGTGGCTGTTGCCCCATATCTGCCACTGACTTA